GGCTGCTTATACAGTTTTGATGGAGTGACACCAAATCCCTTACCCCTCACATGCCCAGAATACTTAGGAATATTTAACACTCGACTTAGTAAGCTCCTGCAATCATCGTCCTCAGCTGCAGTTATAGTCTGTGATAGAGTCTCCTGAAATATAGATAAAAGCATATATAAATATATTATACACTTTTGAGTTACTGACAAAACTAATGTTATACTTACACATTGTTCAAATACTTGTTGAACTTCTTCCTGAACGACTCCATCTCTTCCCACACGGGCAACCTTCCATACAAAATGGTCCGGAAGAGATGTTGCATCACTTTTCTCCTCTTCTAACTACACATTAAGACGGATAATAAAGCATTCATACCCCATTATATATACTTACTATTTTTTGTAACTATATAATATTAAAGCATTTATATATACTTACTATTTTTTGTTGTAAGCGTGCATATTCCAAACACCCTTTTTTGTATGGATACGCGGGTTTTGATGCCCGTTTCTAATTTATGTCACTCACAACCTGAAAAAACAAGTTTATGTCATATCAGAACTCTTGTAGAAGAAGTATATATATTATACATTGTTCATGATAAGTTGTACTTACGCAAAATTCTTTGGTTCTTCGCTTGGCAACAAATGTCTCCCATTCTTCATCTGAAATTAGATCATTGTACTTTGTTGGACGCTCTGATTCGACAAAGTTTCCATCAGAATCTTTAAGAAGCTTGTTCGTTAAAAACGCTCTAAATCCTCTCAGTTGTTTTCCGGCCAATTGAAGACAATATTTTCTCATGCAATCATCAATATTAAAAGATCTCTGCAAACAAATAAACATACATATAACATGTTAGTATAATTAATTTAAAGATGTAACCGTCTTCATAATTAAAAAATATCAAATATCATACTTGTATCTCGTTCCAAATTTTGTCTTTAGCCGGTTGTAACGAAGGAATTCTCCAATTATCGCAAGTAATTGGAATTTGCGAACGAACAAGTGCTCCAATGTAACTTGTCAACATCGCACCGTTAGGCTCAATTAATTGATCTCTTTCATTCCAATGCACATCATACTTTACACCTTTATCTCTGGAACGGATGATTTTTTTCATAATCGTTATTTCTCTTTTAATATCGCCTTCCACGTCTTTTGTTGTTTCGTTTCCATCATGTGATTTTTCCTCGTTTGTGGTCATAATACATGTAATTCAGAAAAACCAAATTAGCAAATGAATGACAAATATGTAAATAAGAAATATATACATAAATAATTCATTTACTTTCGTCAACAACAATAACATCAACAACAATAATTCATTTACTTTAATTCAACAACACTAACAACAACAAACATTCCATTTTACCATCAACAACAAAATTCCATTTTAACATCAACAACAACACTAACAACAACAATATTCCATTTTCACAACTAATACTTCACTAACCTCTAATTCAATTTAATTGCATCCTAACAACTAACGTTAATAGAACTTCTATAACTTTGTTAACTCTTTAACAAATTTCTACATGGCATGGCATTGGACATATTCAGCATCGAATCAAAGCAAAAAACCATATGCTCAACTTGCATCAAAATAAAAGGAAACAATATCAAACCGAAACAAACTACTCAACACTCGTATTAGTCAAAACCAAAACAAAATGTAACAATGTAGTGTGAATGAAAGTCGAAGTCTGATATAGAAATAAAATATAACTGCTATATAGAAATATGCAGAACAACTTTGCAACTACTATATAGAAATACAATGTAATAAGAAATTGTGAAAATGTTAACAACCGTTTTTCACCATTGATGTGCATGGAAAGCTAACATGATGAAACAAATAACAACATTGCGAGATTGGTTCGAAACAAACCTGTAGATTTCATGCAGAATGGGTGGAGAACGAAGATAGACCGTCAAAAGTGACGGACGGAGGCAGAAATGGAAGACGGAAACAAACAAATGGAAGACGGCGACAGACGGAGGGGAAGACGGCGACGGACGGAGGAGGGGAAGACGATCGGCTGGAAGCAATGGACATAGGTATTCACTGAGTTTTTTATGTCCTGCGAGCGTAAGAATGCCAACAACCACGACTGTTTCTGTTTATGAATTTTCTGAGAATTTTTAAATTTATGCCACTTAAACCTACAACAGCACTTTTGAATGGCCTTTAGCAGCGCTTTATAAAAGCGCTCTCTAAGGTCTGCTAAGACAGGACATATAGCAGCGCTTTTAAAAAAGCGTTGTATTTTGTACCACCTATAGCAGCGCTTTTCTAAAAGCGCTTTCTTAGAAGGACCCTTTAGCAGCGCTTTATAAAAGCGCTCTCGTAGGTTACCCCTTTAGCAGCGCTTTTTAAAAGCTCTTTTGTAGGGCCTACTTTTAGCAGCGCTTTTTATAAAGCGCTTTCTATCGTTAACAATAATCATCACCTTTAGCCGCGCTTTTCTAAAAGCCCTGTCTAAAGTCTACTAATTTTTTTCTTTTTTTTTTCCTGACTCTTTAGCAGCGCTTTTTCAAAAAGCGCTGTCTTTTCATGCGCTGCTAAAAATCATTTATGTAGTAGTGACGTTGAGATCGAAAGCAGCAAGAGCAACGCTTTACTCTCCCTGTGGAACGTCGTCGTGCCGTTGAAAATTTGAGTCTTTGCTTGAAGGTGTTGTTTTAACGACATCCATATGATTGAACAACTTTCACGTAGAGGCATTATCTATACTACTAATAGTTTATCTTGTATTATGTGTTCCTCTAGTGTCGAAGATGTAAACCATCTTTTTTTCGGTTGTCACATATCGAATTACATTTGGAAGAGGGTAAAGAAGTGGGCTAGATTGGAAGTGGAAGAGAAAGATTCTTTTTGGGATAAATTCATGGCGTTGATCAACTCTGAGAATATAGGAAAGAGCAAGAGAGTAAAGGCTGACATTATTTGGTTAACGGTCATTTGGCGTATTTGGTTATGTAGGAACCCGATCATCTTCAAGGGTTCTCATTTAGTTGTTTCAGATTTGTTATGGGAAATTAAAAGTACGGCGTGAAAATAGAGTATAGTCGGGAAAAATTCTCATTTCAACTTTAATTTATTTGCTTTTTGTCAGGATCCTCTAGACTCTTTGGCATAGCTTTTAGTTAGTTCAAATTTTCTCATTTTTTTTTATCTTTGTTGGTTTTCTGTCTTTTGAGTACCCATAATACTCTATTAATCTAATACCTTACTTAAAAAAAAAAGTTACTAACCATACCATAATAGCCTTAGTCGAGGCAAAAACACTTTCGAAACACAAGAAAATAATAATTAAAACCTTTAATACAGTTGGTAAACAACGCCTCTTCAACACCTAACCAAATAAAAATACTTCTCCATTCATTCTTCGCAATCCATGAGAAAAAAATAAATGGTCCAAATTTTCTTTCTTGTTCAAGCATAGAACTAGAACACCTAAGATGTTCAATGCTTTTTATTACATGGTTTCGTATAGTGTTGTTTTTTTATTTATTTTATTCTTTTTTTTTATCATATCAACAATTATAAATTATATATTATAGACCATCATGGAATACGGTGTTAAATAACACTACTTTTCTTTTAAAATATATTTATTAATTATTTGTTGGCTAAAAATAAATTTAAAAAATTTAAAATAATAAGATAATCAATATTTAAGAACAAAAACAAAAGAAAAAAAAAACAATTTATTATAGTATAAAATGATATAAATCTTTAGTCATTATTATAAGCAAATTATTGTTTCATTTTTCATATTTATTAAATAAGAGATGCATTTAATCTACCAAAAAAATTATTTATACTAGTGAATGAAATGCTTAGTACTTCCTTGTCCAACCATCCATGGGTCCTGCTCCAAAACATCCGGGAGTAAAATTTGGAGGTGGTGGAATAGTACTTGAATTAAATATATAAATTATTGGTATAAAATTTAACCTTTTGACAATATTATTTATTTATATTTATGCATTATTATAAAGTTTAATTTTTTCCCATAATATTTATTTATATTTATATATTATTATAAATGATTAGTTATATATTTATAAACCGGTCACTTTAATAAAATTACTGCAATCTATATAATTTATTGTTAAATATGCTTGAGATATTTTTAAATATTTTATATTTTATTTTTAGTATCTCAACAAATTTCCCTTAAAAAATAATTCTCTTAAAATATTTTATTAACACTTTCCAATTAAAATTATCGCTAATTCAGTTGATAAAATTATTGTTAATTTTGTTGTTAAAGTGTAAAAGTCAATGCTAAATTGTGGAAGGAAAAAATGTGGCTGAAAATTTTTATAAGGATAATTTAAAATAAATAAATATATATATATATATATATATATATATATATATATATATATATATATATATATATATATATATATATATATATATATATATATATATATATATATATATATATATATATATATATATATATATATATATATATATATATATATATATATATATATATATATATATATATATATATATATATATATATATATATATATATATATATATATATATATATATATATATATATATATATATTTTTTTTTTTATTTTTTTTTTTTTTTTGAAGGTCTAAATATAAAATATGATATGGTATCAAATCTATTTTATTAGAATGAAATATAATTTAGGACAGATATAGTAGTTTTTATGAGGGGTGAATGACATTTTATGAATATAGTTATATAGTGAAATGAATGTCTCTCATTTATCTTAGTAATTAATGTGTGGTATAGTATTTACTACTACCTTTACATTATTGAATTTATTGAACTATAAGTACAACTATGACCCTTATCTGACTTCATAAATTAGCTCAAAATTCTTGCTTCTCTTTCCATCAATGTCAGGGAGCCTAACTTTTACATAACTCAAGTTTCAATTATTATTTTCTTTTCTCATCTCTCACTTTCCTCTACACTTGTCATAAGAGGCTAACTCAAAGATGGGAGGAAGTGCTAGTGCTAGTGCTAGTGTAAGCAATAACAAAGAGAAAAAGTGTCCACAAAAACAAGTAAAGAATTTGAAAGAGAAAGTGAGAATTCTACAAGATGAAATAAAGGAGATGGTGTGTGAGAGAGAGAAAGAGAGTAGAAACTATGAGAGAGAGATAATGGTGTTTACTTTCAAGGAGGGAGATTGGAAGCAAGAGATGAAGAAGATGAGAGAGGAAGTGAAGAGGTTGAGGGAGTTGGTGAAAGAGAAGGAAGAGAAGATAAGAGAGATGGAAGAAGAGGGAATGGTTGAGAAGAATTGTGAGAAAGAGTGGGAATTAATGGGGACTAAGCTTTTGATTCAAGAGATGAAGGAAGAGAGAGGAAGAAGAGATGAAGCTGTTGAAAAATGGAAGCAACTTTATCTTGCAATTAAGAATGAGTTGGATGATCTCATTCAAAGAACTTATGATGGTAAGCAAATCATAATTTTGTACTCATTTTTATCTTAAAAACTTATTTAAATTGATTTATTATATCAGATAAATATATTGAATAATTAATGTATTTAGTTTTTTTTAATATTTCGAATTTGAATTATGTTAATTACTGATAATTTTTATGTCAGATCACGTCATATTTAGTTTAACTTTGACTTTTAAATGTTTTTTTATTGGTGAATTATAGAATTGATCTTCTCAGATTAATAAGTCATCTGATTAAGTATCGGGTTTTAAAAAATTTTGATATATTTAATTTATATATCGACTAGATAAATTAGATATTCAATTAATTTAAAAAGAGAATATATTAATTATAATAATATATTTGAGTAGTATAATATGTTATATATAAGTGTTTAATTAAGTTCTTTTGTTTGTTCAAATAGTGATATTATATATATATATATATATATATATATATATATATATATATATATATATATATATATATATATATATATATATATATATATATATATATATATATATATATATATATATATATATATAGTCTTTGTATGCTAAATTTTTTTTTTTGGAAATGTATTTATAGGAGATGGTGTGTATTGGAAAACAGAAGAAAATGACATTCAAATTGAGAATCTGAAGAATGAATTGCAAGAGAAAGAAGAAAGCATGAAAGCATTAAAAGCAAAACTAGTTTGTGTGGAGAAAGAAAGTTACAAACAAGAGAGAGAATTTGACTTATTAAGGCAAAGTTTGAGGATCATGAATGGCAAGAAAAATTCAATTCAAACTAAAGAGAAGCAGCGTTTCAAAAGCAAATTGGGAAAATAAAGTGCAAATATGATGCATAATTAATTGAACAATGTGGTTGAATAGGTGCTATTGTATACTTAGTTGGTTTGTATCTTAAAAGTAAAAAACCACTTATTTTTCTTTTAGTTTTTATTACCTTTTTTTATGCAGAAAATAAGCATGGCAAATGAATAGTATGAAAAATTGAAAAGTCTTTTTCTTTGACATTTGAAAAGAAATAAAATATGAAGGAAGCATAGCAATTTTTCTTTGTCTAATTAGGATTAGTGGATGAAATAAATAATGTAATTTTAACAAGGTCTTTTTCTAAAAGATTTTTTGCTCTATTATTTGGGTTAGGTTTACTAGGATTGTGCCCTTTCATTTAGACGAATATAGATAAATAGTATACTATCAAAAGACTACAAGAAGGATATAAAAATGAGAAATAGGTTTTAATGTATAGTAAGTAGGAGATAGAAATTAATGTGACACTAGGAGTAGTGACAAATATATTTTAACCTTACCAATCTACCACTACAACTCTTAGGAGTAGAAGTTAAGAAATTTAATTATAAAAAGTTTATATTAAAAAATTAATAAAAAAAATTAATTTTATATTTTCATTAAAATCAATGTACAAATTTAGATGTTGATTCATCCACCTTTTCTTCTTCTACTTCCACAAATTTAGATGTTTCTCCTCGATTCGTACTACATACATCCATTGAAGAACCCAACAATTGTGTTTGTAATTGAAATGATACTCTAACTATCATGGACGGGCAATGAGGATATGCTTTTTTTTTTATAATCAACAATATATTCTACAAGGAACCAGGGGGATCCACAACCCATCAAGACTACAAGATACACAAAAGCATCACTTAGGATGCCAAGATAAAATATAGATCAGCAACAAATAAAAAATCTCACCTTTATAAAAAATCAAAAGGTCTTTTGCACCATTCATAATAGTTGCATTTAACCTTATTCTTATATGATAAGTCCAACCACTACCAAAAAATATGAATGATTTTATGAAAAATTTCTTTTAGGGCAACAATACCATCATTATAAACCACTTGATTCCTAGTCCACCAAATGTTCCAACAAGTTTTCAAGCAAATAAAAAATGCAGAAGAGTGTGAAAGAGGATACAACATGTTCTTGCCACCAAGAACAAATTCAAATTTGTTAATGGATTAATTCTAGCACCAAAAGAAAACGATCTTAACTTTGTTGGAGAGATGTAATAACCTTGTTCATTTATGGTTGGTTAATCGATGACGCCACAAGTGTGGTGTATATAAAAAAGTGGCAGATGTTTGGAATGATCTCAAGGAAAGATGTTTGCATGGAGTCATGTGTGTTTTTCTACACTGTGTCAGGATATCTTAAATTTCAAAGAAGGAAACTTGAAAGTTTCTGAGTATTTTACTAAAATGCGTGATATGTGGGAGATACTCGACAAACTTAAACCTATGCCTTAATGTACATGTCCAAAAAATGCTTGTGTTTGTGCTGCCACGACAATGCAAGAACATTCAAGAAGGAAGGCAAAATCATTCATGCTTATAAGCTTTCGATGATAACTGCAATTGGATTTTAGATATAGGAGAAATATATCACAATTTCAATTTTATAGATTGGTTCCTCTCATATAATGAAATAGATCATTCCCATATCTGTTGATTTACCAAGTGAAAATAGCATTCAATCACACATAGTTAGTAAAGTTAAAATACATGATAAATTGATCATAGAAAGAATGTTATATCTACTTGGTTTTAATGTCAATCTGATATTTATATCAGGATTATCTAAGACACATAAGTGTGCCATATTGTTTGAAGATGATTCATGCATTATATAGGAAAAATGAACTATGAGGAAGATTAGTTTGGCTAAGTAGTTGGATGGCTTGTATTACTTGAAGCTTGATTATGTAACTTCGAGTCCTAATATTCATTTAGTAAATACAGATGATAACAGACTACGACATTTGAGATTAGGTCATTTGTCTTATGATAGAATAAAATGTATGAATAAGAAATATAGTTAGAAGTTACATATTTATATTTTATCTCATACATCTTGTGATGTTTGTCATATGGCAAAACAGAAGAAATTTCCTTTTACCGCAAGTAACCATAATGATAAGATTGTACTTGATTTGATTCATATTGATATTTGGAGGCCTTTTTATACAACCTCAGTTCATGGCTTTAAGTATTATTTTAACTATATTTGATGATCATAATAGGCATATTTAGTTGAGTATGATCAAGAATAAATTAGAAGTTTTTAATTTTGTTAAAGGATTTATAAACATGGTTAAAACACAATTTGAGAAAAGTGTGAAAGTTATATGAAGTGATAATGGCCTAATTTTATGTTGAAAGCATTTTATGAAGAAAATAGTACAATGCATCAAAGAAGTTATGTAGGCACTCCACAACAAATGCAAGAGTTGAAAGAATACACCAGCATAAATTGAAGATTAGTAGATTATTGTTGTTTCAATCAAATATTCCTGAGGTCTAATGACCATATGTTGTTTAACTAGCATTCTTTTTATCAATAGGATTCCTACCAATTTGTTGAAAGATAAGTCACCACACGAAGTTTTGTATGGTGTGGAGTCATACCTCACATGATAAAGACATTTAGATGCTTTTGTTATTCATCTACTACAACTTCTCAAAGACATAAATTTTACTCAAGAGACAACAAAGTTATTTTACTTGGACACTAGCAAGGTGTGAAATGTTATATTACTCTGGATATGCATACCAAAAGCATTTCGGTATTTGAAATTTTTCGATTCTATGAGCCTGAATTTCCATATCTTACCACTGATAATATACCTTAAAACACTCATCCATTAAACCAAAAAGAACCCACATCTCAAAATACTCAACCATTAAACCACATATAACACAACCATGATATTCTTGATGAAGTTTCCATATATTAACAAACATTTATGGAAAATGACACTTCCAACACTAGTTCCTCCATTGAACCAATAACTCAAATAAACACTCATAAACAATCGACTAAACAACCTAGTAGAACCAATCACTCAAATAAACACTCATAAACAAACCAATAGACAATCCAGTAGAACCAATTAAAAACCTAGTTATTTAAATGAATATGATTGTAATTTTATCACCATTTTATCCTATTCTCTCACCTCTTATATAAACTACACTAACCTTTCACCTTCACACCTCACATATACCTTAGCTCTTAACAATGATTTTGAACCACCATCATATGCCTCGACTAGAAAAAATCTAAAGTGGATATCCACCAAGTTGGGGATTTTTAAACGGAGTGCTTATGCTAACAATGTTTAAACTGACACCCAATAAGATGGTGCAGAGATGAAGATGAAAGAAACAAATAAGGGAAACACGTATTTGACTAAGGACCAAGATAATTGTTTGAATACATTGCTCAATAAGAATAATGTTAATAGAACCAAGCATGGAACTCACATGGTTAAAGGAGAAACTAACAGTTGTTATTCTGGAGGAGTAACAGTTAAATACTCTAATCATAATTTAAAATTCAAATATGATAACTACAATTGGATTTTAGATATAGGAGAAATATATCACAATTTCAATTTTATAGATTGGTTCCTCTCATATAATGAAATAGGTAATTCCCATATCTGTTGATTTACCAAGTGAAAATAGCATTCAACCACACATAGTTGGTAAAGTTAAAATACATGATAAATTGATCATAGAAAGAATGTTATATCTACTTGGTTTTAATGTCAATCTGATACTTATATCAGGATTATCTAAGACACATAAGTGTGTCATATTGTTTGAAGATAATTCATGCATTATATAGGAAAAATGAACTATGAGGAAGATTAGTTTGGCTAAGTAGTTGTATGGCTTGTATTACCTTAAGCTTGATTATGTAACTTCGAGTCCTAATATTCATTCGGTAAATACAGATGATAACAGACTATGACATTTGAGATTAGGTCATTTGTCTTATGATAGAACAAAATGTATGAATAAGAAATATAGTTAGTAGTTACATATTTATATTTTATCTCATACATCTTGTGATGTTTGTCATATGGCAAAACAGAAGAAATTTCCTTTTACCGCAAGTAACCAAAATGATAAGATTGTACTTGATTTGATTCATATTGATATTTGGAGGCCTTTTTCTACAACCTCATTTCATGGCTTTAAGTATTTTTTTTTAACTATATTTGATGATCATAGTAGGCATATTTAGTTAAGTGTGATCAAGAATAAATTAGAAGTTTTTAATTTTTGTTAAAGGATTTATAAACATGATTAAAACCCAATTTGAGAAAAGTGTGACAGTTATGTGAAGTGATAATGGGCCTGATTTTATGTTGAAAGCATTTTATGAAGAAAATAGTATAATGCATCAAAGAAGTTGTGTAGCACTCCGCAACAAATGCAAGAGTTGAAAGAATACACCAGCATAAATTGAAGATTAGTAGATTATTGTTGTTTCAATCAAATATTCCTGAGGTCTTATGACCATATGTTGTTTAACTAGCATTCTATTTATCAATAGGATTCCTACCAATTTGTTGAAAGAGAAGTCACCACACGAAGTTTTGTATGGTATGGAGTCATGCCTCACATGATAAAGACATTTAGATGCTTTTGTTATTCATCTACTACAACTTCTCAAAGACATAAATTTTACTCAAGAGCCAACAAAGTTATTTTACTTGGACACAAGCAAGGTGTGAAATGTTATATTACTCTGGATATGCATACCAAAAGTATTTCGGTATTTGATTTTTTTTTTTATTCTATGAGCCTGAATTTCCATATCTTACCACTGATAATTTACCTTAAAACACTCATCCATTAAACCAAAAAGAACCCACATCTCAAAATACTCAACCATTAAACCACATATAACACAACCATGACATTCATGATGAAGTTTCGATATATTAACAAACATTTGTGGAAAATGTCACTTCCAACACCAGTTCCTCCATTGAACCAATA